GCTCTCTACAAAAAGGGGAGGAGCCACCTCTTTTTCTTGAGGAAGCTCAGATCTCTCGACATCTGTAGTAAGATGCTGCAGATGTTTTATCAGTCTGTGGTGGCAACAGTGTTGTTTTATGCTGCAGTCTGCTGGGGAGGAAGCATCAGACACAAAGATGCAAGGCAGCTGGACAAACTAGTCAAAAGAGCTGGCTCTGTGATTGCAGTCAGGTTGGACACACTGGAGGAGGTGGTGGAGAGATGCACACTGAAGATGATCGAGGCCGTCATGAACAACCCAGATCATCCACTCCACAACACCTGTGGTGGACGGCTCCTCTCTCTTTGATGCAGGACAGAGAGATACAGGAGATCCTATATACCAACAGCCATCAGGCTTTATAATTCTTTGACATGTAATAGATGAGATGACAGATAATTTAATTTCCCCTTAGGGATGAATAAAGTTATTCTTATCCTTACCTTAGTTGAATATAAACCCAAATATGACATCTAATGTTGTGTGTTGATATTTATTGCCCAATTATTTTTACATTCACTCCACATTTAAGCTGTTCAGAATGAAACACATTTGATTTCTGATGTGGTCAAACAACACGTCATAAGAAGCAGTTCTGAGAGAGAAAAATGTAGTTGAAGGCATAGTGCACCCAAAAATGAAAATTCAGCCATTATCTACTCACCCACAAGCTGAGGGAGGCTCAGGTGAAGTTTTAGAGTCCTCACATCACTTGCAGAGATCCAAGGGGAGAGGAGGTAGCAACACAACTCCACCTAATGGAGGCTGACGGCGCCCCAGATTCAAACGTCCAAAAACACATTATTGAAACCACAAAATATCTCCATACTGCTCGTCTGTAGTGATCCAAGTGTCCTGAAGCCCCGACATAAAAAGTTGTTTGGAAAAACCTCATTTGAACTCTGTTTTTAGCCTCAAAAGACCGTGAGACATGGGCACTTGCTTTCGCTGGTCTCTCGCGAAAGCGCACACGTGAGCACAGTGCCCAGAGAGGCAGTCAGAGCTACAGGCTACAATGAGGCTAAAAACAGAGTTCAAGTGACGTTTTTCCAAACAACTTTTTATGTCGGGGCTTCAGGACACTTGGATCACTACGGACGAGCAGTATGGAGATATTTTGTGGTTTCAATTATGTGTTTTTGGACGTTTGAATCTGGGGCGCTGTCAGCCTCCATTAGGTGGAGTTGTGTTGCTACCTCCTCTCCCCTTGGATCTCTGCAAGTGATGTGAGGACTCTAAAACTTCACCTGAGCCTCCCTCGGCATATGGGTGAGTAGATAATGGCTGAATTTTCATTTTTGGGTGCACTATCCCTTTAAAGCATTGCAGTAAAAGTAGTGTTTGGCTCCTCTGACTGATATTATCATATATGACATCACTAGATTATCAATACTGAAGCATCAGTGTTAGAGCAGCATGTTACTGTTGTAGCTGCTGGAGGTGGAGCTAGTTTCAACTACTTTATAAAAACTTGGCAGCTGTTATTGATTCCCAGTCCCGCCCGTTCCCAGTGACTTTTTTTCCCGTCCTGTCCAAATCACATGACGAATAGTGGAACTGATTCCCATCCTGTGGGACTCGTTCACAGTGAGGGTCGAATGGAGCGTGAGATGGATCTGTGGTTTGGCATAGCGTCAGGTTACAGCCTGATGATTAGAGATAATTTATATATATATATATATATATATATATATAGCTTATAGATCCCAGGGGACATTTTTATCAATGTGTAATTAGTGGTAGATTTGATTCAGTTGAACTATTAATATTGTGACAGAATCTGACTGAGTCACTGTTGTTGTTCACAAACTAAAGAAATGAAACATCAGTTTCGTTTTTACTGAAGATTTGAACTGTGAAACTACATCACTGATTTCTACTAATATCTATCGTCTTAGATCAATAATCATTATTTTTACTAATGTGTCATGTAGTCAAGAATATCATTATCACAAAATCACCCTGAAATATCCTGATATGATTTCAGAGACATGTTGCCCATCCTGTTGGTTACTGTTGGTAAACACACTCACCAGAGAAAGTGAAAGTAAAGACCGTCCTCAGATTGTCATGTTGCCTCCACCTGACGTCACCTGGGCACCATCAACACCCCACACACAGACAGTAGTGAACTCCAGCCAAAGGTCAGAGGTCAGAGTGCAGACAGACCCACCTCACTGTCACCACTGATGTCTAACTCCTGCAGTTTGTCTTTCAACAACTAAATGACGTCACTCTTCTTCATGTGATCTGAAGCTGGAGACAAAAGTCCCCCTGATGACGTAATCAGTGATCGATTGTACCTGCTTCGCGTGTCATCGATTATCTGATCAGGTTTATAATGTGACGTGCAGCAGGACAGGAGGACATGAGACACTCTGCAGCAGACTGACACCAACCTGATGTGCAGCTGTCCTCAGTCTGTCCGTGTCCTCCGTTGGGTCAGCTCGGCACCACGAGCCGCTCCTGTCTGATCGGTACCGACTGGACCGAACCACAGCTGCAGGTCTCTGTGTGTGCACCGTGTGTGTGTGTGTGTGTGTGTGTGTGTGTAACACGGAGCAGAGTTAAAGCTCGGTGTGTGAACAGCTGAGTTTCTGTGCCTGTGGATAAATTATAAACTCCTGCAGAGAAGTTTCAGTGTGTTGTTTCCCGCCTGCTGATGAAGATGAAGATTAAGATGAAGAGGAGTTCGCTGTGAATTCTGAAGTTGTGAAGTTCGAGAGGAGCAGAGTTCGCCTCCCTTTGGATCCGGACCAGGGTGACTTAAGGTGGACTGTTAAGGTGGACCGGCTGTTGTCACTGTGGTGATGACGTCAGGACAGATGAAGGAGACATGTCTGTCCTGACGTCATGGAGACAGTTATTGATCCCAGCTCAACATTGATTTCGCCTCCATTAGTACTATAAACGCTATCCGGTGTTAAATTACTGTCGTATGGTTATGATTTGTAATAATGATAATAATAATGATGAACACAGTGTGTGTCTGATTTATTTATTTATTTATTTTTATTTATTTAGCATTAATGCCAAGACCATTTGCTTTGATTAATATATAATAATAAATATCATCATGTATTAATTGAATTAACTGAATGAATAAATTATACAAATATATAAATAAAACTTAAATAATAAAATAAATAATCAAAACTATAATATATAAAATGAAATATATAAAACTAAAATATACTACTAATACTAATAATAGTAATTATTATTATTGGTAGTAGTATTTCTTAGTTTTATATATTTCATTTTATATATTATAGTTTTGTTGATGTTGTAAATGATCTACGATGACATAATGTAATGTCTTATTTTTTACATTTTGTGTGGACGCCAGAAGGAACAGTAGTTACTATGGTGACAACTAATGTGAATAAAGAACAAAGATTTTTTTTGTTTTTTACAAAGTTTGAATTAGTTCATAGTGTTTTATATTTGCCCATGTGTATACAGTTCTGAATAATTTAAACTGTAAAGAGTATCTTCATTTTCAAGTTAAATTTTCCTTTTGCAATTTAAAAGACTGCTCTCTTTGACGCCCTGTGGTAAATAAAACATGATGACGTGCCCTCTGGGGTTTACTACAGGTGGAGAAAACATTAAGTACCTTCTAGAGGACCGTTCCATTGGAGAAAACAGGATGAGATGCCCTTCCATTGGAGCATCCACTTCAAACTCCTCCTACTCACCCATAAAGCCCTCCACAACCAGGCCCCCTCTTACCTCACAGACCTGCTCCACCCTTACACCCCTTCCTGCAGCCTCTGCTCTTCCAATGCCAACCTTCTCACCATCCCCAAGACCAAGGACAGAACCTGGGGGGACAGAGCCTTCTCTGTTGCTGCCCCCACTCTCTGGAACTCCCTCCCAAAACACATCCGTGACTGCACTGACCTCCCATCATTCAAATCACTACTCAAAACTCACCTGTTCCGTTCTACTTTTAATGTTTAATCTACTTTTATTCATTTATTTATTTATTTGTTTTTAACTCCCATTGCTATTCCTCTTTGTCTTCGATGTCTTTTGCTGAAAATTGTTTTTTGATGTGTTTGAACCGTCTCTGTAAAGTGACTTTGAGAACTTTGAAAAGTGCTTTATAAATAAAATGTTTTATTATTATTATTAAAACATGATGCGATGCCCTTCCATTGGAGAAAACAAGATAGATGCCCTTCCATTGGAGAAAACAGGATGCGATGCCCTTCCATTGGAGAAAATGAGAGTCCCCTTGCAGTGTAAAAAAACAAGCAGTGCCCTCTTAGATGCCATTTTGAAGTGGTATAATGAATATCCAACACAAAGCTTTTATTTTGAAGTGCTGTTTCCTGCTGTAGAGTGAGTGACTAACAAACATCTCAATGACAGAGACAGCAAACTAGCTCAACAACATGAACAAACACAAACATGACGCTGAATATATCACACTGTGTGGTCCTTGAAGTAATGACTGAGGAGAAATCTGGACCCTGTGGCTGGACCAGTTAGGAGCCACTGATCTAAGGTGCCCTTCCAGTGGAGAAAACGTGATCAAGTGCGTTTAAGGATACTCCTCCAGTGGAAAAAATATATGCAGTGCCCTCTGGGGCGGCCCTCCATTAGAGAAAACGTGATGAGGTGCCCTGTAGGGCGCCTGTCTAGTGGAGAAAGTGTGATGCAGTGCCATAAAGGTTCAACTACATGTTTGAAAACTGTGCTGGCCTGGTTTCTAATAATAACTGCACATTCAGCTAGCTGTTAGCTTGTTAACGTTGTTGGTAACTTTGTGATGTTCTGGTGTTGGAGTCTCTTCAGATCGTTTCCTGAGTGTCGTCCTTCAGGTTGAGGTTTTCTGTCTGTGAGTCTTAAAACAAAAAAATAAGTAAATGTAGATTAATAAGAAAACTATGATGTCAGTAATTGCATTAAATATTTCATCAAGCTCATGTATTTTAACTCAACCTGTCAATGACGTGAACAAACAGAGATAACGTAGAAACAGTTTTATTGAGGACGTTTCCTCTAGCAGCACATGTGAACACAACAGACGCTAACAGCATGAAAACCAGTCAGTCAGCTGATTGATCAATCAGCCTGAATGATCGGAGTCTAAGGATCGTAAGGTGAAAACATTCAGTTCTGCTGCAGCGAGTTTTCTGTCCAGCATGAGTAGTGACATCACTTCCTGTGGGCAGGGCAAATGATTTTTCACATTTCTACAGTTTAATAAAACAACCAATGATTCTTTAGATGATCTGTTGCCTTTTGTAGTGACAGTTGGAGCTTAAAGACACAAGTAAATTCAAAGTAGAAAAATATTCTGTCTCTACTGTGAGAAAAGATTGAGAGGTCGAAGTAAGAACATTTACTCAAGTTCTGTATTTGAATATGAATTCAAGGTACATGTACTTGAGTATTTCCATTTTTACTTTACAGACGACAGTTGTTTAATCTATTTCCTGTCCAGTAAAAACCACAACTCTCAAAATGTGTTGAATGTTTCTGTTGAACTGAAATGTTTAAAGTAATCAATACACTTTCAACACTTTCACAAACTTAGAAATTTCAGATCCAGCTCTTTTCCAGTTAATAGTGGTGTTCCTCAGGGCTCCATCTTCGGCCCCCTTTTATTTATTATCTACCTTCTACCTCGGTCATATCTTTAGAAAATTTGGTATTCAATTCCACTGCTACGCTGATGACACCCAGGCCTACTTCCACCAAGTTCCCTTTCTGACAGCTTATTGGATATTAAATCTTGGCTCTCGTACAACTTCCTCAAACTTAACAGTAATAAAACTGAGGTTCTCCTTGTGGGTACTAAATCTACTTCAGCTAAACCACATAGTTTCTCTTTAACTGACAACTCCAAAGTTCATCCGTCCCCTCAGGTTAAGAGTCTGGGTGTCTTCCTGGACAGTACACTGTCCTCTGAGGTCCACATCATTTTTTTTTTCTTTTAATTGTGTCTTGTAAGGGGTCCTCTAGTGCTTTGAAAGGTGCCTTTAAATAAAATGCATCATTATTTAAATTCTCTGTCTTAAGCTAAATTAACTCTTTAAAAACCCTCTTGGATCAACTGAACAGTCGTCGTCCCAAAGCTGGAAACAGGCTGTTTTTTTGACTTTTTAGAGATACATGGTTCTCACAGGACAGCCACACTACAAACATATGATGATCTCATAGACCATGATGCATTGCTGTAGATTAAACTACCCAACAGGATATAAAGGAGTTAAAATGAGCCAAACCTGAAATATCTACAGCAAAAAAACAAAACAAAAAACAAACAAAAAAAAAAAATCCAAAAACATTTTACTCTAACGGACTGACTTTCCTGATGATGCTCACAAACTTTTACTAATGCAGGACTTTTCCTTGTAGTGGAGTATTTTCACAGTGTGGTATTCGTACTTTTACTGCAGTAAAGGATTTGAGTACTTCCTCCACCTCTGCCTGACTGTGAACAGTTTAGTCTAACACACATGTGAATCAGGACTGAAGACACTGAAGGAGCGGGAGTAAAACCTGCAACACCCTTCAAGTCTGGAAAACTTTCACAGTGAAACATGATGGGACGAACAGCAGCAACACTGAAACTACAAAAGGCAACAGATCAGTCTCAAACCTTCTTAAACCTCTGCTCTGTTCCATCAAGCTTCATTTCAATTTGAACCTTATTTTATAACAAGCAGAGGACTCTGACTCAAACTCTGCTCTGACTTTATTAAAAATGCTTTTGTCTCATTTTTCACCTGAAAAACTGAACTAAGTTTCTGAAGCACAAAAAAAGGTAATATCAAACATTTAAGATTCATAATTTTGTCGACTTGTTGACAGATTCCAGATATTCATTTAGTCAAAGTTCTCCTACAGCTGAGAGCTTCGTCTTGTGTTCAATGTATTTAAGGGTTTTATAGAAACATAGTTTATAATTCTCACAGGTTTTGGAAGTGTTATTATTTTGTAGAAATGAAAAACTTCAGCTGGTAAAAAGGCAAATAAACAGATTTTCCTTCGACGTAAAATCACAGCTCAGATGAATCTCACAGCATCTTTTATCTCCAGCTCGTCTTTGGCGTAACGTCACGAACATTCCTGACGGTCTGAGATAGAAATCTCAAGGCGGGTTAGAAAAATAAAAACCTGATCAAGCAGAAACAGACTGGGTGAACTGGGATAGAACCAGCAGCCCCAGTAAGCCAGAACCACAAAGTCTGAGGTCCAACAAGATTCTCATGATCAGGAAATCCTTCTGATTCATTCCAGCAGTCAGCGAGTACGATGACACAGAGATTTAACAAGTTAAAATACTGAGACTGAACGTCAGGGTGAAAAAATCTGAGAAATCAAGACGAGAAAGGAAGTCCAAATGTAATTTTAAAATAAAGGTGCAAGGTTAAATTCAAAGTAGAAACATTCTGAGAAAAGGTCGTAACATTTAGAGGATAAAGTTTTAATATAAATAAAATTGTCAAAACATCTTTTCTCTTGTAATATTACAACTTTCGGATAATAGTACAACTTGATTTATGATGACTTCAATCTCAAAATATTACTTTAGTCTTGATTTATTTTAAATATTACATTTTTCTTAAAACTTCTTTCTCAAAACCTCCATTCTGTAAATCTCAGATTTCTTCCCCCGTCAGAGCCTCAAATCCATCACGGTTCATCTGCTGTCAGTCCAAACATTTAAAGGGATAGTTCAGGTTTTTTTAAAGTGGGGTTGTACGGGATCCATAGTCAGCGTGATATGAAGGGTAGATGTCAGTCGGCACGCCTTCAGTTTGGAGAAGCAGACTGGAGTCTGATAAGAAAGCTAAGCAATGTACTGCTGAGGAGGGGTCAGCAACATAACATATTTTAGCCACTTTAAAAAGTGTCATCTTTAAAAATAAGAAACAGACGAAGTGTATGTAATATCTAGAATATTTTCACTGCTTTACCTTCTGTCAGACAGCGTTTTCTGACTGGGAACTAAAGCTATTACATCGCTCTCTTCAAAGCCAGACTCTGTTATGAAAAACAGTAATTTTAGCTCACTGGTCTACTTCTGCCTCAACCAGTTAGTTTGTTTGTGTTATTGTGCGAGTTTGACGTTTAATATTGTTAGCTCAGATTCACCACAGTCACACAGTAACACCAACTCAGTAGACCAGCAGCTCCTGTGTTCAGCCATGTTAAATTGCTGTTTTTGTCAGTGGAGTGTGGCTGCTGTGACGAGAGCATAGATGGGGAACTGAAACCGTTTACGGCTAGATCAGGCTGTCTGACAGAAAGATAAAGCTGTGAAAGAATATTCTCAATGTCAAACAGTTATAGATGTTTTAGGCAGCTAACACAGACATGCCGACTGACAGTGACTGCATGTAACACACTGACTGTGGATAAGTACATCAGACAACCCAACTTCAAAAATATACTAACTATCCCTTTAATCCTGGAGGGTAGCTTCAGGATCTCAAGTCTTTAAAATGTCACAAACTCCATGATTATTTAGATTGAGATGCCAAATATCTTCTGTCAGAGGACTCATCTGTGATTTGATACCGTCTGATGAAGGTTCGTCTGATCTGAAGACACTTCATTTAAAAACACTGAGTTCAATAAAAGGTTAAAAGATTATAACTCCATGATGATGATGTAATCCTACTTGATAAAGTTTCATCCACCTGAAACGTAAATCGTCCGTCCTGCCAAGAAAAACCTTCTACATTCGGTTTTACTAAAAAAAAGAAAAAAAAAAAAAAAAAAGAAGAAGAAACAAAGAGAAATCATGTTTGACCTCCTCGGGGTCCTGCAGAGGGTCCTGGACCACAGTTTGGGAACCACTCTACTGAAGAGTCTGTACTTTGCTCACAGGTTTGATCCCATCTCAGGGTCCTTGAGCTCTGAAGGCACTGCGCCCCCTGCAGGGGCCTGTATGAGCAACACCAGGACATTTTAATGTGACATCATTTCCAGCAGCCGGCGGTCCCGAGCGTCCACATGATCACTGCCGAGGTGCTGCTGAGCAAGGCACGTTAACTTTTATTTACAGTATCTAGAGTTCATGAAGGACTGAGTGAGAAATCCGACGACTGAGTGCAAACTGGATAATAAAGTCATCATCATCTTCATCATCTTCACCAGGCCGAACAGAGGAAAGTTTTATTCAGAGTCTCTCGGCAGACAGTCTGTTAAAGCGGCGACGTGTCAACTTTCTGAGGGTTTGTGGGTCGGAGCGGAGGAGCAGGAGGTCGTCTGCAGAGAGACAACAAAAAGGTTTCTCATTTTACTTTTGTATTTATATCTTCTCTTTGGTATCTATCCTTTTTTGATTGTTTCCAGTAGACCTGGTCAATTCCACTATTTGTAGAAAAAATGACTTCCTTTGATTAATGATAACATTTACTGACTAAACTCAAACAAGACTTTCTAAAAATGTCCAAACTTTCTAAAAATGTCCTGACTTTGTAAAAATTTCCAGACTTTCGCAAAAAGTCATGACTTTCTAAAAAAAAAACTAACTTAAAAAAAATCCTGACTTTTGTGAAATTTCCTTCCTTTTTAAAATGTCCTGTCTTTTAAAAAAAATCCTAACCTTCTAAAACAGTCCCAACTTTTTTTTAAATTTTGCAAATTTCTGAAAATGTCCTGTCTTTTAAAAAATTTTCTGACTTTCAAAAATTGTATGACTTTGTATAATTTCCTTAATTTATAAAAGTTTCTGGACTTTCTAAAATCAAATCAAGTCTTTTTTTTTTTAATCTTTCCTTTTTAAAAATGTTCAGAATTTCTAGAAATGTCTTGACTTTTCAAAAATTTCCTGACTTTCTAAAACAAAAAAAACTGACTTTCTTATCATTTCCTGACTTTCTAAAAAAAAAAAAGTCATGACTTTCTTATCATTTCCTGACTTTCCACTGATGCTGTGACTTCCTGAAGAACACCTGTGTAAATGACTCTGAGGGTCTGGATCTCTGATTGCTGTGACGTTCTCACCTGTTGGGAGCAGCTGCAGGTGCGACGGCTGCGTGTTGTGGAGGTTTGGTGTTGGCAGGGTAGCCGGGGTGAGGGGGGATGTGGTGATGGGGTGGCTGCGCCATGAGGCGGGGCTTTATGGGCACCACAGGTTTGGGTGGAACTGGGACCTGAACAGAGAATCATGGGAAATAAATATGAACCTTAGTGCAACAGAAAGGTGCGTTTCCAACGCCAGTGTTAACTTTTACTCTCTTTAACTTTCACCTTATTTACAGCAACATAAACATCAGTTACAGCATCCTGTTCTACCTCAGATCTGGATTTATCAATTTAACACTTCATACTTATCAGAGATGTTTCAGCTTGACAGTGTTTCCATGAGGGAAATATTCAAACACTGATGTCACACTGTTTTCAAACTCACATGTACTGAACTGTTTCTACTTTGTCATTTTTAAAGTTTCTTGAAATCTACTTTAAATAATTTTTAACATTTGCTGCAACCAGGTTTCAATTTAAAAGCCTTTTAGTGACAAAGAAACTTTCCTTATAAACTTTTAATGTGAAATGTACAGGAAGTGCTGATTTTCACTTTCATTTTCAACACCCGACATGACCCCAGCAACCTTCACCAATCAATCACCTCCACCAATTATTGATCATCAAACCACATCTTACCTGAAACTCACTGACTCCTGATTCAACGCTAAAATCAACAATCACAATGATCAATCCATCAGATCACGATTCATCAATCAGGAACAAAGATCACAGCGCTCAGTCGGACAGGATTACACGTCACCCTCTCATCACTTCATTCAGTGGATCAGATTCTTTCTACATGCTAAGAACGTACGTGCTACATGCTAACAGCTAACAGCATGCAGGTGCGGTGTACCTGTCCAGGTGTGACGGGGTCAGGGGGGAGGGGCTTGTTGGGCGGAGCTGGGCGACTCACCAGCAGCTGGAAGGTTAGTGAGGAGGAAGAGAGAAGAGTGAAGCTTTGTGAGAGGAAGATGCTTTACACTTCCTGTTTGATGCAGTCAGGAGGAAACAGAAACATGCTGAGAGGATTTCTGTCTGTTTGACTTTCTGCTGCTGCCTTCACAGACGTTTACACACTTAAACTCATTTATAAATACAGAATTAAATTATCTTAAAGGGCACTTTATCATTATAAATGCTGCATGCAAGTAGAAGCATTAAAAGGGAAGGAAAATGTAAAACCATCATGCTGTAAAGTCACACTCAGACTGATGAGTGCAGTCAGAGCACACACATGCAGTTTCACTCTCAGAGCTCAACTTGAACTTGGACACATATTTCCACCAGTGGAGGAAGAAGTACTCTGATCTGTTACGTAAAGCGGAGCTCTGATATTTTTCAACTTTGACCCTATTTTCCCATGTGTCCGTGTTTTTAAGGACAAGTGAAAAATATAGAAACATTTCGTCTCTCCGTGATGCTGTCAGGCTCTCAGAATAACAATCTGAGTCTGTCAGTGGTAAAAACACTTTTAATGGACGTAAACTGACGGAGGAAACCTGCATGAATGGTGACATCACAGCCTGTTTCACTGCTGTCACCTGCAGCTCTCTGGACCAGTTTAAAAAACTGTCACTTAAAGACACATGGGAAAAGAGGGTGAGGAATAGGGAACAGTTCCCCAAATCAAAAATACAAATGTTTCCTGTTACCTGTGGTGCTACCTATCACTATAGATCAGTGGTTCCAAACTGGTGGGTCGCAGTCCAAAAGCGGGTCGCAGGTCCATTCTGAATTGACCATAAGTGACTCACTAACATGTCAAGTTTGTCAGAAAACGCTCTTTATTATGAAGTACAGTGAATTTCTGGCACAGAGCTTTTACTTTGGAGTGCTGTTTCCTGCTGTAGAGTGAGAGACTAACGGACAGCTTCGTGACAGAGACGACAAACTAGCTTGACGACATGGACTGACAAGTATGACGCTGTGTGAATGTTGAACCACTGCCTCAGGAGAAATCTGGACCCCATGGCCGGACCATTTAGGAACCACTGATCTAGATCGTTTTGATGTGAGTTGTCGACTGTTGGAGATATCAGCCGCACAGATGTCTGCCATTTCTTTAACATAATGGAACTAGATGACACTCGGCTTGAGGTGCTCAAAGCGCCAAAAAATAATAAACTCAACATCAATGTCTCTTTCCAGAAATCAACACTCAGTTTCTCAACATAATCCACAGACCTTGTTGTGAGCCGTTTCACGTAGGAACTATTTTCTTTCTACCAAACTACACCTGCAAACCGAATCACAGCACAGAGGGGAGGGAAAAGTCCCTGCACTAAAACATCAGCTGTGGATCAATCCGCCGCTGAAAAAAGTCCAACAAAGACCAACAACTGTTTCCTCCTGTTTGTCTGGTAAAAACTTCTGTGAGACGCTGTTTTAGAAATTACCAATAAAACTATGTATTTGTGTTGTTAAAGTTTTACGTCCTCAGAAGGAACCAACGGGCTCAGAGCTGAGACACAGACAGGAAGTTAGACAGTACTGAGAGACGCACTAGCATGTTGGTTTGAGTCTGAATATATGATCTGATGATGATAAGAAAAAACTGATACTAAACTGGTTTCACAGGAACATAAAGAGATGTTCAGTGTGCATGTTTCACTGATTGTTCGTCCTCCGACCAGCAGGAGGAGCTGCAGCCTGTAACAGGTGTCAGATTTAACTTCAGCTACATCTGTACATGTAGTGCAGACACACACAGGACACACAGTGACACTACACACTACAGGTAGCGGTGACTGTACCTGGTTGGGGGGGTCGGGGGGCAGAGGCTTGGTGGGGGGGGCAGGTCGCTGTTTAACAGGTCGAAGCAGCAGAAATAAAGAAGAGCAGCAGGTCAGAGGTCAGCAGGACGAGACCATCAAACAGTTTCTCTGATCCTCAGTAAAGTTTCTGTCTGTGTTCTGATGTCATGTGTTTGTCTCATAATAATAATAATAATAATAATAATAATGATGATGATAATAATAACAATAATAATAATAATAATGAGACTCAAACTTTTCACTGGTTTCCCATCATCCAGCTGGACAGTTAGCGTATGGTCACCGTAGCTGTTTATAACAATGACGACACAACAGCTGACCAAAAGTGAAGCCAAAGCACCTACACTGTCCCCTGGTGGCCGGCTGCAGTATAGTTGATCACTTCATCATCGTTATACTCTGTTTGATATTTGTGTGAAATTTTGTCATAATTAGCAAATGAATTCTTGAGTTATGGCCCAAAACATATTTCTGAGGTCACAGTGACCTTTGACCAAATTCTTATCAGTTCATTCTTGAGGCAAAGTGGACGTTTGTGCCAAATTTGAAGAAATTCCCTCGAGGTGTTTTTGAGAGCTGCACGGGGGGCATTGAGATCATGAGTCTGATGTGCCCAAAGACTGAGGGTTTTTCACACTTGGTCCTTTTCAGCCCTCTAAACGGACTCAGAGCTGTGACTCAGCATTTTGTCAACACTCCAAGAGAACTCAGACCCCTCTGAAGCGAACCAAACTCAGACCACCTCCCGAGGTGATCTGAATTCCCTTCAAGTCCTTGGTGCGGTTCAGTTAACCTGTGCCTTGTGAACATAAAGCAATTCAGGTTCACTTTGCTCTTTGCTGTTGTATTCAGCCCTCTAGATCACATGATGTTGACCTGGGACGCTTGAAAAAACGGACGAAAATGCGTCGGCCTGTAACACTTGCAAGGACGCAGGACGAGTAGTAGTTTGATCTACGGAAGATACAGCACGTCTCCAGATGTGGAATGTAGAATACATCAAACAGCAGTCTACAGCACAGAGACAGTGAGGTTCTCCTCCAACGTTAAGTTCACCTGAAAGTGTGGGGCCTCATAACCACACTGCAGTTCCACGTCAAAGTAAAAACAAAACTATGTCAGTGTATATTATATACAGGCTATAGTGTGAACAGGTAGAGGACTGAGGCCCCATCAGAGCTGAAGGTGATCAGAAGGAGAACTGGTGCACTTTCAGAGGGTTGAGTTCAGTTCATTTAAAAAGGACTTTATGTGAAAACATCTGAAATATAGCATGATAAGAAAAACAGGAAAACTTCCACCGAAGGAAACTCAACATGTCAGTCATAAGCACGAATGGACTAAAAGAGTTCAGAGGAACACGTGAGGTCTGAACTTTGGATAAACTCTGATCATGTGTGTCATCATCATCATCATCATCATCTTCCAAGGCTGGTCGGCCATCTCTGACCTTTTGTAGGCTCAGTCACTGGGATTTGTTCATTTATTTATGAACCCATACTGGATAAACTCCCTTCATACATGTGTACTTTGACTGAACAGAGATCTGACTGTAGCCACAGTCTGAGATCTCAAGACTTAGTTCTGTTGTCTGCTCCTGGAGCTCAGACTGAGCTGGGAAACAAAGCTTTTATGTGCTCTGCTGCTCTCACCTGGAATAACCTTCAGAAAGATTTAAACTACATGAACTGGTCTCTGTGTCTGATTTTAAAGCTCTCATATGAACAAGGATGAATTAATCAATTAATGTTGGTTCCTGTCACTGTGTGTAGGTGTTCTAATATTTCTACATGTCACTGTCGATCTTCTTGTTTTTATTGTGTTGTTATTTGGCTGTAACTTTTTGTGTGCTGCTGTCTTGGCCTGGTCTCCCTAGTAAAAGAGACGGTTGATATCAGCAACACTAACCTGGTTAAATATGGGATAAATATAATAAATAAAAATCATCACCATCACAGGAGAAAAATATATTTTAGGCTGACAAAGTGAGAACATGTTAGGGATAAATGGAAGTGCTCTTTGACGACATGAGGAGGAAGTTGATAGAAAATAAATACGAGGAGTTGAAACCAAACAGAACATCAGATTTAGTCTCTTTAAGATGAGTCTGTTTGTTTGGACAGACTGCATCTGGACTGGTTCTGAACATATTCAGGTCTCTTTCAGACTGTTGTGTCGTTTTTGAGGAGGTTTTCCTCGTCTCTGATTCAGATCAGGTCCAAAGGTTTGGACCCGTTCAGACTGTCGTCACTACTACGATGATAAAACAGCTCAAACAGATGACGCACACCTGGACAACAGTCACGACACGACATCAAGACAGAGACGTGACAGAAACACACATCAGACTAACAGCTGATCAGACGGACAGTTTACAGATGGTTTGTGAGCAGACGCGACACAAACACACACGTTAACACCTCCAGCTGAGGTCAGGTGAGTTTACCTGCGGCGGGGGTTTTAAGGCGGGGTCAGGGGGGAGTGGCTTAGTGGGAGGAGCAGGTCTGTCATGAACCTGATAGGAGAGAAAAGAGGAAGCAGAGGCAGAGTGACAGCTGACACATGCAGAGGAGAGGAGGTCAAAGGTCAAACAAGCAGGTGTGTTAATGTGAGTGACAGGAGGAGAAGAAACTTCTGCAGCTGTCGTGTTGTGTCACTTCCTCCTACTCTTTCACAATAAATCCATGTCGCAAGACGTTTTGTCTCCGTTCACTATAAAGGTGTTCAGGAAACAGGAAGTGAAAGCAGAACTTTCAGCTTCATGTTTCAGAAGAATAATGACTCCATTCAGAACCTCGTCGACCTTTGTAACAAATATCTTCACTGACAGTTCACTGCTTCATGTTAAATCTGGATATTTTGATATAAACGGCAGCTTAAAATATTTTCTAATATGTTCTTAATTTACAGGTTCTGTTTGTAAGTTACTGATGAACCATCTCTCTCTGCGGCACTCAGGAACACGCATAACGTCATATTCTTTGGATTTTCCTGGAACATTCGTCCCGTGTCCATCACAGCCCACAGGCTGTAAGAGGCAACCACGGAGAGGAGAGGACAGTCTCAGTATTTTAAATACGTTACAACTTGTTCACCCACTGGCAATGAAAAATAATTAAAACACGTAAAAAGTTATTTACATTTCCTTTAATATTTTTGTTTTGAGTGGATGAACACCATTTCCCATAATCCCACAGATCACTGCAGGTTAAACATCACAGCTCTACGTACAACTTGAATCGAGTATCTGTGGTTAGTTCACGTCTGTTATTACAGACGCTGGCGTCTTAGTGGTAGTTTTCAGAAAGACTGCGGGCACGCCACCTGGACCAGGTGATGCTGCAGGTGATTTATCGGTTTGTGTGTTTATTTCCTGGATGTCAGTGGAAGAGACTTTCATCAGAGACGTTCAGCACAATCAGGCCTGGTAACAAGACTTTGAAACTTTTTGTACTTTTCCCCTCTCAGGCCTGTTACAGTCTTGTTGTGGGGGGGTGAATCAGTGGAGGTGTGGTTGCTATGGTTACCTCTTTGTGTGACGGCGTCAGTGGGATGTCAGTCGGTGGGTTCAGGTGGTACCTCAGGGGTCGGACCTGCTCTCCGTTCCTGCCGTCAACTCGCTCCATCACCGGCGTCCTGAAGAAACGTGAGATTAGGAAACATTTAAAACACTGTGGAGCTCGTTTCATCATCGTTTCATCATCATCCTCATACAGACCACTGCTCTCTTCACTGTTATCTTACAGTGATGCATTCAAGGACACTCAGACATGTGCGGACTGATGTTTTATATTGTAATCACAACTTTTATTTCTTTCTCCTTCAGCTAAACACAAATCACGATGACAACACCACAGACTCTTTACTTGTTCTCACAAACACAAACTAAACCAACGACCAGACGTAAAGATGCACCTCTCTCTAAACTCTGAGGACTTCATTACCCAGAAACCTCCCTGTGCTGTCCAATGTTTCATCTGTGACTTCCAGACAGTCGTCATGTCTTAAAATACAGATTATTATTACTGTTCTTGATGAATGGTGATGAAACCACAGCACAGGTGGGATCTGGATCAGTGCAGCTTTAAGGTCTGATGTGCATTTCCTCTGTAGGTGTGATCCAATCAGTCAGCGAGGTGAAGAGTTATATTATAATCTGATTTAAATTAAAAACTTCACCTCTCTGAATCTACAGGGACAGACTACAGACCAGGACCAAGTTGGTCCCAGCAGGACCAGCAGTACCTGTAGACGTGGGCGGGATGAAACTCCAAACCCAACAACTCAAAGTGAGCCACACTGCATCATGGGTAAAAAAAACACACCACAATCAGACTCGTATGAGTAAACAAATGGATAATGGACTTGCACCTGTGTAGCAAGCACTCAGAGCTTTAACAGTACATGTCACATTCACCTGTTCACACACACACTCATACTCACATTAAATCTTCTGATTTATATATTGTTTGTTTGTCCTGAATTTATTGATTGTATTGACCTTTGTGTCCACACACACACACACACACACACACATACACACACACACACACACACACACACACTCAGTATTACCGGTTGTGTTGCCGGGCTTTATGAAGCGGGCTGTCGGGTCCAAAACAGAAGAAACTGCGCCGGAACCGAGGGAAGCGCAGAGCGAGGAAGAGGAGGACCACAGGCAGGATGAAGAGGAAGATGACGAGCAGAGCCACTCGGACCGGATCAGACTCTGAACAGAGAGGAAGAGGGGGCGGGGTTAAAACCAGAGTCAGACAGAAGCTGGATGTTTTACTGACACAGTGTCTGTCGGTGTGAGGTACCACCTGCTGCTCGGGCCGGTCCGCTGTCCACGCTGCCTCCGTGACCGGAGTACCTGCAGTCAGGTGGAGCCCAGCCCACATTACAGTGGCAGTTCTTATTACTGTTACACACCTGAAACACACACACACAGCACACTGTAGGACACTGCAGACACTTCACAGTGCAACATGTATTTATTGTCTCTGGTTCTGATTGTGTCTGCACTGGTTTCCCTGCGCTGTGGGGACGAACACTCAGCCTCCTTCATTCTCCGATTTTGTCAGATTACTGTTGACAATAAAATGTTTCACAGAGTCACATCACGTCACACACAAACCCTTCACGTAATGTTTAAGGCCCCTGAACAGACGCTGCCATCTACTGGTCACCTGTCACAACACATAAAACCTGCTGAAAGAAATCGTGGTGACATGTTCGACAGTAATTTATGTTTTGAACAACATGTTTTATCACCTCAGAAACATTGATGTAATAAAATCTATTGAACTTTTAGAGATACAGAAACTGTTGTACGTGCATTTATCTCTTCGCTCCTTGATTGTTATAACAGCCTTTATTTGGCTTTTAACCAAAACCAATTAGTTTGATCACATCACACAGATTTGATCCTCTGTACATCGGCTCCCTGTTTGTTTTAGGACTGACTTTAAGATATTACTGATTATTTTTAAGGCTCTTCATGGCTTCAGATTACATTTCAGACCTTTTAGTCCCTTATGAACCTCTGTGTGGTTTGAGATCCTCGAGCAGAAGTTGTCTGTTCCAGAGTCCAGACTGAAGACTAAAGGGGACAGAGCTTTTGAAATCAGGAACTCGAGGCTCTGGAATAACCTGCTTGAAGATGTAAGACTGTCTGAGTCATTGTTATTATCTTATTGATTTTATTTCCCATTAATTCAGATAGTTTTGATTTTATGTGATCAGGTTTCTGTCCCCACAGAACAATGGAGGTGAATGGTGTTTGATGTGAGTGAGTGTTTACTGCTGATTTGAATGACCTGACTCTTCAGCAGATACTCATAAACATTTAACGTCGTTCATTTTTTGTAGTTAACGTGGAGCAAAACTATGATGCACGTTTGATCATTTTGAGGCCTGGACAGCAGGTCTCAGGATTAGAAACAGGTGTGATACAGCTGTTCATATTTACCACAATCATCCCACAGACCTGAGTGTGTGTCTGTCAGTGAGGGAAACTCTGAACATGAAAATGTTTTCTTTATGTATTCTTTTCAGTATTTGGACAGATAACATGTTTCTTCTTCTTCTGCTGAACAATCTGTTCCTCAAAACCCCTCAAAAGTTTAAGTGTAACTATAAAAGAACGTTTCTCACCTTACTCTTTCTTGCCAAAGTCTAACTGATCCTTCAGGACGATCGTCGTCTTTAACTGAACTGTAAAATCTGATAAACCGTCTTCCACTCACCCCGTGACCGTTACACTTGCTGCGACATTCATCCACCCCAAACACCGACACGTCCTGACACTTCTGGTTCAAACACGCCTAAAAACACAAAAACACTTTAACAAACAACTCCTAAAAACAAATTCTTTTTTCACATTTCTAGTAAAATATAATGTTTACAGAATCTAGATGATCATAAACAATTAAAGTCAAACTGAGCTGTTTTATAAAGCACTGTTGTCTTCTTGTTTCTATAGATTAGATTTTACAGATTGGGATGTTTTCTCTGCTCTGATCAACTCCTCCACGCCTGCAGGGGGCGCTGTGTGTCTGACCTTGCCAGGACTGCAGGCGGTGCCCTGGGCCACTGTGGCGGGGTCCGACACATCATCTCCCAGGTGGAAGTAGGTTCCTCTGCAGACCAGGTCGCTGTGGTTGAAGCGGACTGTGGTGGTGAGGATCTCTGCGTTGGTGCCCAGCAGTGGGCGGTCCCTCCCTCCCTGACACTGGATCCTGCCGCAGTGGACGTCACTGCAGCAAACACAACAGGAAGTGATGTCAGTTAAGGCTGGTTTTCACTTCTACTCAAAGCAGACAGAAACTTTAACTGTCTACATATTCTGTGTACTCTGTGTTCTGTCTGTGTACTCACGAGTTTGCACAGGGGATGTAGGAGCCGTTGGTCAGCTGACCACAGTTTCCATATTTGTTTCCCTGTTTGTTGACGGATGAGAAACAGACAGGTGGAGCGCTGGTGGCATCTGCCGACAGACAGACGGACAGAGAGAGAGAGGGACAGGTCAACCTGGTTAACTGGTTTCAGACCGGAGCTGGCTCTGGGTCAGTGTGAACCACAGTGTGACGAAATGTTTATGAACGTAAACTGGTTTCAGTATAACTGGTGTAAGCTGTAGTTGTCTCAATGTAAACTGGTGTCTTACTGGGCCCCCACAGCATCTGGCACTGGGTGTGCATGCTGGCACAGACTCCTTCGTAGCAGTAGGAGGCGTCGTTCTCGCAGGGCTCCCCGTTCTGCAGGAAGACGTTGGGGGGGCAGTAAGGGGAGGAGCCTGTGCAGTACTCGGGGAGGTCGCACTCTCCGATTGGGTCACGACACACTGAACCCGCCGCCCGCAGCTGAGGAGGAGGAAACGTTCACTTTAATTTAGTTTGGGAGGAATAATATCGTGTGTGTGTGTGTGTGTGTGTGTGTTACCTTGCAGTCGTGGCAACAGATGCCGTCAGATGAACACTGAGCTCCAGGAACCAGCCGACAGGTGGAGGCGTTACAGCAGGGGTCCTCACACTCCTGACCAATCAGAGCACAGCAACACATCAACAGGAAGAACAACACAAACACACCCTGCATCCTGATTGAACAGTTTTGCTTCATGCCATCACAATGATGCGATCAGACAGGTGTCCAGGTGAGTACCTCCAGCAGGCCGCAGTCACACTCCTCTCCTTTCTCCACGTACAGGTTTCCACAGCGAGGTCCTCCCAGCAGACGGTCCGGCTGCGGCACGTTGAACAGACACATGCCGCCACCGTGCAGCAGGCTGACGGACAGATCTGCAGCGCTGCAGCTGCTGAACTGCTGTCCCGGCATGAACCTGGAGGTCAGAGGTCACGGGGAGGGAGGAAGTCAGGGAGCTGTGTTTCTACATAGACCTCCATTATAAAAGAGACAGTGTCACAATATTCAGATCAACATATTAATCTAATCAGTAAACAGAGCTGATCAATAAAAACGGAGGATTAAATAATCAGGACAGTGAAGTGTGGAGGTGTTTTGGTGCTCAGCTGATCCGGGTTAAATGTTCCTGTACTGTGGCTGTACCGGACTTTTGTCAGTCAAATCAGATGTGGCTGTTTTCTACATGTATGTGTGTGTATGTATGTGTGTGTGTGTGTGTGTGTGTGTGTGTGCGTGTGTGTGTGCTATAAATTTTCAATTGTCTGAACACAGTTCGTCACCATGTATGTATTTATTTTTAAAGAAATTGCAGTACTTTAGTTAACACTCATACATAATGTATTCTATGTTTTTTTTCTAATAAACAGAAAAAAACCCCAACAAGAACCAGTAAACAAGCCAAGTTAGCTGACCAAGCTAACGTATGCTAACTACGCTAACGAAAGATCATAAATGTGCAACTAATTGTTGTTGCTGACACTAGATATCAAACAGAAGCCAGAGACTGTTTCATATTAAGTTGCTGAGCTGCTCTCATCAGGAGGCAGAAGGTAACATATCTCAGAGCTCTCCTCCTCGGCACCGCTGCCTCCGTCTCACTCACACTCTGCAGCTAAATCTGGGGACTGAAACATCTCCAGAAGTGCGCTGCACACTGACTGACCCCGACTGCTTGACTTGATGGAATCTCAGTCAACTGAGGCGTCTCTGACGGGTGATCTGATATTCGACTCTCAGGGAGCAGCCCTATCCAACACTGACTAAATGATTCTGGTACTGACCCGGTCGAGGGCTCCATGATGCATCCTCCGAGCCGCCGTTCGTTCTGACAGGAGCAGCTGCGCTCTGCTGTGTCGTGACTCATCCCCAGGTTGTGACCGAGCTCATGAGCAACAGTGGAGGCCACGCCCAGCACGCTGACCAGGTGGTCCTGAGAGAGACAGAGACAGGCTCAGTTTAGTAGGATCCCTGTTAGCTAACATCCTGACGTCAGCTAATGTTCCTGGGGTGTTCATTTAAACAGTTAACTACATTACGTGCTCTTTTAATGAACGGGTGTTCAGACAGACAGGTCGGCTTCAGCAGTAATTTTTCATACCTTAATACCTCCTTGAAATTTCACCGCAGTATGACCGTATTTGTGTCTTGGTTAGTCGTTCAGTTAGTTCAGTGTTCCAACAATCACCAACTCTGGTTCGGTCAAAATACGCCCCCACCACACAGAGTAACTGTGCTGTACACAGTCCTGTAACTTTATCCCCACCACCTGCAGCCACCACCTTACTCAGCTCAGCTGCCTGTTCCACCAGTAGAGACTGACCTCTGGTGGTGTATGATGTGCACTACATACCATGCATCCTTAACACAGCCTCTCCATATGAGCTTATTAGAATATGAGCGTCTGTATTAAAAAATTAAATCAACGGAATTTCTACAACGTCTACAAACTTCTACATTAAATTTTTTTTAATCAAAGAACCAGATATTTTCTGCCTCAGCTCTTTAATTCTGATGATTCAACAGGAGAATGAAAGAGACTGAAACTTAAACTCAAAACACCTCCTCACACTTCACAACTATGTAGTCGTGAGAAAGCTTCAATTCACGTGACACAGACGGGAGAAACAACATTTCATTCACCTGCATAATAACAATAAATTCAACTCTGTAATGGATTTAAACCCAGGACATCACACACACACACTCTGTGTCCGCTGTGTCTCAAATCATGATGTGTCCACTCACCACATTGACTCCACCCGACCGGTCTCTGGAGCACATGGACGACTGAGACGCCATCCCCACTGTGGTGCCGTCAAACGAGCCGCCCCTGTGAGATAAAAGTCAACCCGTGATAATCATGATGATCACAATCTGAAGTTTTTATTTTGTTAAATGTCCTCCTCCTACATGACGAGCTGTGCGTTGTCGTGGCGAAGGCGTGGCAGCAGCTCTCTGGTCCTCCAATCCAGGAAGTTGTTGAGGGTGTCGGTGGGACTCTTCTTCACCTGGATCTTGTCGCTGTCGCTCCAGATCTCCAGACCGGTCAGCGCCACCCGCACGTTCAGAGGACGGTAGAACTGAAACAGACAGGCAGACAGGGCCACTTCAGTTTTTCTCTACTGCACATTTAAACAGGTTTACAGTGACGGGGAGGTCAGAGGTCACAGCTCTCACCCAGTCCACCTGGTTGGCCACGTCCAGCATGCGGTAGATGATCGTCTTGTTGTTCTTCTGGTAGTTCAGAAACTGTGGAAAACAAAATTGTATTACACAGAGACTCATTTAGACGTGACTGTTGTCGGTTCTGCAGGTTCTGCCTTTAATTTTGTTGACTTTTAAATTAAAGGAAGTGACGCCATCTTATGTAATTATTAAACACACACACACACACACACACACTGACCTCCTGGTGGTCAGCCACCAGCACCAGTTCGATGTATTTGGTCTCAGACAGGATGTCTCTCTTCCTCTGCAGACAAAACAGACAGAGAGGACACAAGTTAAAGACTGTCACAGTGACGTGTTGCCTCACACACATACTGCTGGTTCTAACCCAAGTGTTACTGTACACAGTTTTACCACTAATGGCAGAACTACAAACTGGGAGAATCTGCTGCTTCCTGAAACATTTTTCTCCACTATAAATTCACGTCTGTCCTGAATCATATAATGAAGCCTGACTGTTCGTGTTCTGTTAGGAACAATCAGGTTTTTTTCTAAATACTACAGTACCCATGAGCCTTAGCTGCTTCGATGTGATGGCTTCAGTTCTCTTTTGTATGGGGTCATTTTATAGCAAAGTGGTAAAATTAACCTAAATATATTGGACACTAAAACTGATATAAATGTCTTTAGTAGGTCCTTTTTAAGGAGGCGAAAATACGTTCTGCTGCTGCTCCCGTCCAGAACGCGGGGACTTGTTGTTGGTACAGATCAGGTGCCTCTGATCTGTACATTTCTGTAACCTGACATGGCGTCTACAGCAGTACATCCTTTGGCTCCTGTGCCCAGTACTCCTGTTTGCTTCTCTAAACTGGGAGTGTTGACCGCCATCTAACTAGGTTTACACAGTAAAATGCAGTGTCTTACTGAATCTCAACATGTTCTAATCTGGTGAAATAACAGTTTAATAATAATAAAAGTGTGTGTGTGTGTGTGTGTGTGTGTGTGTGTGTGTGTGTGTGAGTTCCTGTCTCACCCTGTGTGTGTGTGTGGGGCTGTGGATGGGGGGCACAGCGGTGTGCGAGACTCCACAGCCTCCAGCACTGTCGCCCTCCAGAGGGCTGGTGGAGAACAGTAAGTGAACTCCTTCCTCTTCATCTCCTCCTCCTCCTCCTCCTCCTCCTCCTCCTCCACTCCCTCCACTCCCATCTCCTCCACTCTCCCCTCCTCCCCCCTCCTCCCCCCCCTGCTGGTGATGGTGGTGGTCGTCCTCCTGTGGCTGCAGCTCAAAGCTCAGGGTGGAGTTGAAGGCGATGATGCCGCTGCAGGAGGAAACAGGAAGTTTGATTTATTACCTGCCACTGATCGATGTGGCTGATTAAAGGGAATTATTTTGTTTATCTAAGTCTGTCATGAACTGGAAGTTAAGAACTTTAAATCTGTTGAGAGAAAAATTTTATCTGGAACTGTGGTTGTATGACTCCGCCCACCAGTCCAGTGTCTCTGACGGTCTCCATCCATGTCAGTGAAAACATGGATGCTTCACACACAGAAGATCTATACAATCAGCACAGTTTCAAGATTAGAGTCACCAATTCAGTATCTGACCAAATGTCTCCCCTTCTGTTCCTGAGATATGACGTTAAAACATGATGATGTCACAGTCTTCACAGCCAAAAACATGTTTTGTGAGGTCACAGTGACCTTTGACCACCAAGTTCTTATCAGTTCATTCTTGAGTCAAAGTGACTCAAAGTTTGTGCCAATTTGAGGCATTCTTGAGATATATTATGAAGGCATAAAAAAGTGAACTTCGTGACCATCTCACAATTTATAGATATATATTTTTTTCATTTCACGTTTCCATAAGAGTGTCTGAAATATTCATTTGATTTATTTAATACCTTATGAATGAAAAACTCAATGTGATATATAACTTTTATTTTCTTTACAATACATACTATTAATAATAAAACAGCTCTGCCTTCAGCGTGCAGGTTTTGCAGGTTTTTATTCTCCTGCAGCTGTTTGTTGAAACTTGTGACATCTGACTGAACTTTTTGTTTGTTCTCTAATTGCTTCTAAGATCTCAGTTTGCTCTCAATAACCTGATTAATAAAAAGATCTCTCTCGTTAATAATCGGCTGTTTGTTGATCAGGTAAACAGAGGTCTCTGTGTCTCAGACCTGAAACCCACAAACTGGACCAGGTTCTCTTCACGTGAGCTGCTAAACAGCTAATCCTCCTGCGGCCTGCACACTGTGTGCTGCTGCAGAGGTCAGAGGTCACTCACATGGATCTCGGATCAGTTGGATCTGCAGAGGAGCGCTGATGTCGTCACTCACGTTATATGCTGAGATCAGCCCAGAAACACAAAGACCTGAATCACTGTAAATCCTGGACTCTGCACAAAACGGATTGGAGTTTTTTTAGGTTTAAGAGATTTTACTTCTTATTTTCCTTCTCTGTTGTTTGAGGAAAAAAAGTTTTTCCTCTGAATAAGCAGGAAGTGTTAGAACGGAGCTGTCGGCCATCTGTTTCTGTTCAGCCTGAAAATATTCAGCTCTTTATTTAAATGCGCACAGGAGTTTCCTCCAGTAAACATCAATGAATACTTTCAGCAGGTTTCCATCCTGTTAACAAATATCTGCAGCTCTCTGTTTGTCTCTTTTTTTTCAGACTAAATATAAAATATGACGAGATCTCCTCCTGTTGCTTTCAGTCCAGACTTCATGAGATCAGACACACTGGATTATGAAGCTGGATGTTGAAAGGTGTGTTGGATCTCTCAGGTAAAACCTTTTCACATCCCAAACAAGAATTACTTTTAAAGTTTTTCAAATTAGGGTGTTCTATAGATTCACAATTGAAGGACAGGAAAATAAGCTCACAGCTCAGAGAAACTGAAAAACAAATACCTTCTGCCAAAACCCTTAAAGGCAAAGTTTCATATATATCTGGACTATATTCACCATGTTTGTCAGAGTTCTTTTGAGTCTGTGAAGGAACGATGTCTGAGATGTATTTGAGTTTTCCTCATCAGCGGTGACACAGATGGAAGTCTGCACCTGGTTTATCGTCCACAGTACGAGGCTGCACGCCCACATTTTCACAACAAAATAGAACAGGCTGCAGTGAGAGTCTCTCTCCATGGGATATTTAAAAATAGCAGCTTTGTGCATTTAGTCCTTCTCAGGCAAGCTCAGGGGTTTAGTGTTGCTGTAGCCCACAGGAAGTGAGGATTAGAATATATGACCTTCACATAATCTGCTCCAAATTAATCTATATTTTTAAAGTCATTACTAAAAGTGTGTGTCATATAAAAACTAAAGTGATGGTCAAAGTTGTCACAGTGAAATTTAAGGTGTGCTGATGGATTCACGTCATCAACTCATGCATTGAGTAACATTACAAGTATTAGTACTCAGTGTGTGTATTGTGTGTATTAGTACTGTGTGTGTATCAGTACTGACCGGAGTCCGGAGCAGGTGCTCAGAGCCGCTCTGGACTGAGGGAATCCTCGGACGCTGCCGTGGTAATAACAGTGAGTCTGCACACACACACATACACACAAACATCTGTCACAGCTGAGAAACACAACAGAGACAGTCTGAGGACGGACGGCGGTGCGTTCACTGACTCACCACAGGGTCGGCTCTCACAGACACTCCGGTGCCGTTGGGCAGGTAGTAGAAGACGTTGGGCGGTTTGGGTAGCAGGTCGCTGCAGACAGACGACACGTCACATCTCTAACTCTTTATGTTGTGTTTAATGTCACACTGTAAATCACACTCACTGGTTCTTCTCCAGGTCCAACAGGAAGAGACGTCCTCCCATCTCCAGTCCACACTGCAGCCTGTCGGGGTGACCGTCCTGAAAACACACAGGAAGAACATTTCCTTTATTTACTGAGGTGATTCAACACTGAGTGGACAAAGGACAAGAGACGGAGGACTTCTGGAGGAACACTGGAGATGGACACAAGACACATACGGAGACTGGCAGCGCTGCCTTTGCAACTCTACTCGCTGAGTGCTACCTTTTTTTAAGTCATTATCGAGACCACCTTTTCAGGTGGAACCAGGCACAGTTCGACAAACCTGGCCTGGGTATGTTACACCATGTTCACACTAATCAAACAAATTGGAATGACAAGTGCACTCTGATCCGGGCCCAAGTATCCGATGTGGAAGCCTCCTGTAAGCTTCGCTATGAAGAAGCTCTTAAGCATGATGGTAGAGTAACAAGGGACTCCTTCCTGCTGCAAGAGATTCAGAAGCACCTTGAGCTTGTCTCCTTTTTGAACAAATTCAACATACTGGACAAGTTTGAGTCAGGCAGGCTTTAGGAAGCACCACTGCACAGAGTCTGCCCTCCTTAAGGCCCCAAATGATTTTTTCTTGTCTCCAAATTCAGAAAATAACACAGAACTAATTCTTACAGGCCTCTCGGATGCCTTCGACACAGTCGATCACTCCCTCCTCTTGGACTGCTTTAAGCATGTTGTTGACATTCAGGGATTGTCCCTACAGTGGTTTTCCTCCTACCTACAAAACCGACCTGCCTCTGTTTCCTCTTCCTCTGCACTCATCTCCTGTGGCGTACCACAAGGCTCCATGTTAGGCCCCCATTTTATTTTCTTTGTTTATGCTTCCCCTAGGGTCTATTTTTAGAAAATATAATATCTCCTACCACTTTTATGCTGACAAAACTCAGATATATCTCCTGCTCAAACCTCATGATCCATGCACTGTCAATGTCCTCTTAAACTGCATCGAGGATGTAAAGTCCTGGATGGCAAAAAAAACTTTCTTCAAATTTACTGGGAAAAACAGACGTTTTTTATCTTGGCTGACAACTGGGTCATTTTATTTATCCTGATTTTTTTTTTTTTTTTTTTACACTTAAAGTGTGCTGAATACTGCATCAGCAGCTCCTGTCAGCAGTGTATAGATGGACGTACCGACATTTATCACTGGATCACTGTGATACTGAAGAAAACGTTAAAACATGACTCTCAGGCGAGTTCTGCAGCGTCTTCTTTCACCACAGTCTGGTTCAATGATCCGGGACGTGTCCGGTGGGAATTCGCCTGTTTCCACCATTTTTATTTTGTCACTTCCCCTTTCTGGTCCTTTAGGATGTGGGCGGGGATAAGTACATCCGTTATCCAATCAGTGTGTTTTCCTGCCTCTTAATGGAGCCGCTCTTTGAAGAGGAGACACTTCCTGTCCAACGCCTGCTCGCTTTCTCTTCTCAGCTCAGCAGGAAGTCAAGGTGTGTGTGTGTGTGTGTGTGTGTGTGTGTGTGTGTGTATGTGTTAGAGAGTGTTTCTCTCAAGTTTTGTTCATTTCCTTATTCCTTCCTTATTCGCTGCATCTCTTTAACACATAAACACTGATTGTGTTTCAGGAACATGAACACAATCATGTCTTAAATCAGGCACGTCCAAAGCACACCCCTCGGACCAACTTTAAACTGCCCTCGGCTTGTTGTTCAAACTATACCATACATGGCCCCATATGTTACTGGTTAATCAAACAAGCTCATACTTTTCATTGTTTTCTGCTCAGCTAACAACTGCAGGACTCTTATACAGTTTGAAAACGTGCACCAAGTAGGAGCTACGCGGGCAGAACACGTGTCTTCATAAACAGACGGTAAACCAGCAAACAAAGCTAACAGCAGATATTTCCTGTCAGGTATCAGACATGGTTGCAGCAGAGAAGTCACAGACCAAACAATGGAGAAACAAGTTAGCTACGGTTAGCTAGCAGCTAACTGCTACCATGGTGGACAACTTTACAGCTCTGTACATTTGGTCCGTCCAAAAAGTCACGACTCTGGATGTAGATTTCTCCATGTTGTTACCGGCTTCTTCTTCTCTTACACATTTAATGCTATTGGACTTCCGGGTCAAAGCCCGGGGCGGAAACTGTGGAGCATGCTCAGAGCGCCTCGGCCAGTTTGGGTCTGATTGACTGTATACATGCAGGAGTCACATGATCTGGGTGTGTTAGTCCCACTGTGACACATTCACTGCAGGACCATTTCACTCACACTGACATGTTTACGTGTGTTTTAAAAGGTCGGACTGACACAATAAATCCATTTCCTCTGATGTCATGGAAACAGACATGTGAAGATGAAACAGTTTGTCTCATTTGCGTGATTTTTTATTTTAATAACCCGTATGATGCGAGCAGCAGCAGAGCCCACATGTACTTTCACATTATCTAATCTGGCCCCCATTCAAAATGTTTGGACACCCCTGTCTTATTATTATCAGCTGGCAGCAGTTAATCAATCAGTGGAAGTCAAACGTCAGCTGAAAAAAGACTCTGGATCTGCAGAATACGCGAGTACAAAAAGCTCAGATGCTACGACCCTCTTGTCAAACCTCTCAGCTCTTCTCAGTCTTTAAATTAACAAAGAGCAACAGAAGACGTGTACAGCAGAAATACTCAACTGGCTTTTCCCGGGAGTGACTTTCTTAACATTACAGGGGGCCGAGGGCCAGTTAATAAACAAACACTGATAATACCTATCAGTATAAATAATAAATGAACTGCCTGTTTTCAACGTTTCAACGTTTGCTGTCCTCACTCATCTTCACCAAGAGGCAGAAATAGTCGCCTCTGAGTCAGGTGTACACAGGGGCATTTCTAGGATTTTAAGACGTGGGGCTGAGCCTAGACGTGTGTCGGAGGGTTCAGGGGATCCTCTCCTAGCAAGCTCTATTTTAATGTTTTTTACACACTCTGGCACCTTATTTTCTTTCACAGTACAAAAAATACCACTGTGAATCAGTTTATATTTATTGTGAATTAGAAAACAGCAGGCCACCTGGCAGCCTATCACGGGCCAGATTTGGCCCACGATAGGCTTTTTATTTTCAGCCGAGTGACGCTGGTTAGCATGATCAGTGGCAGCTGATCAGATCAGTTGTAGATCATCAACATTAATTCAGTAAAATGAAAAGTTCTCTGGTTAATGAGCCGCTGCTGTCTGTAATCACACAAAGACTGTCTGTGAGTGAAAGGATGCATCACTCTGTCACCACTGTGTGAACACCAGTGGACGGTTTTGTATTTTAAAAATCACTCAAACTAGATTTATGTCAGATCAGTCAAGATGTTAGAAACACTGACGGGTCCAAACTTTCCCAGAGAAGTTTTGAGCCACTGAAAAACATGATTTTCAGATCATTTTAATTTCCTCTAGATTTTATTTATTCATTTTGACTCGATTAGATTTATTGTCAGTGCAGGAACTGAGACAACAAACGCAGTTTAGCTTCTAACCAGAGGTGCAAAAAGCAGCAAAGTGCAGAATAAAGATTAGATTTAAACATATTTAATGGCTTAAATGTAATTTTTAAATGTAGTTTAAATGTTTCTGTGGCTCTTGATGTCTTTATTTTCCTTATATTTTATTCTATTTTGACAGAAACAGAAATATTCTGCATGTATTGAGTCAAACATGACGAGCATCAGCCTTTAAAACCAGACTCTGAACTCGACTGAGGACACGACCTCCGGCTCTGCAGGCTTCTGTGTTTGATATTTAATTGAGGAGATTTTGGGTGGAGTGTTCCTTTAAAATGAACAAAATTCCCCTCTGAGGCATGTTTGTTTTCTCCACCCTCTCTGTACTTTATGCTGTGGTGGGGTCAAGTCATTGTGCAGCAGGATGGAGGGCGAGGGTGGGGGGTGTTTGTTAGCTGAGTCATGTTGGGTGCAGCTGGGTGGGTGTGACTGTGATACTGTGGCTCAGCTCGCACAGGAAACTGATCCCGGAGCTGTCGGACCGACGAGTGTGTGTTCAGAACGAGATACTGTAAATACCCTAATAAACTTCACAGTGACACACACTCAAACAGCAGCAGCGAGGAGGCGTTCACTGACCTAAACTCTGTGTAGACAAAACAAGCGCTCAGTAAGCACATTACAGCTGAAACAATGATCCAATTAACAAAAACTATTTTAATAACCACTTAATTGTTTGAGTCACTTTGAAGAAAAAATGCTAAACATTCCCTGATTAAGCCTCTAAACCTGAGCAGTGTTATCCTAATTAAATGAATATCTTTGAGTTTCTGAGTGTTGGTCCGACAAACAAACATTTACAGATGAAACACTGAACTGAGGGAGACAATATGATGAATTAAACAAGGAAATAATCAAAAGATCGTTTAATAGTAAAAAATATACTTTGCTGTCCTGTTCAATAGACCAATTCCAGGAACTAAAATTACATCTGAGAAACAACACAGGTTACACTAATCAGTTCAATTATGGATTAAAAACTGATTTGAGATCAATTTTCTCGAACTGAAGTGACTGGTCGATTTACAGAAAAGTAATCAGCAAATATTTTGATAATCACGTGAACAAACATGGCAAATTGTGTGTATATACACTCACTGGACACTTTACTAGTTACATCTGTTGAACTGCTCATTAACACAAATAGCTAATCAGCCAATCAGGTGTCAGCAGCTCATTTACATTTAGTCATGTAGACATGGTGAAGACGAGCTGCTGAAGTTCAAACGGAGCATCAGAATGATGAAGAAAGGTGATTGAAGTGACTTTGAACGTGGCATGGTTGTTGGTGCCAGACGGGCTGCTCTGAGTATTTACTGGGATTTTCAGCACAACCATCTCTAGGGTTTACAGAGGATGGTCCCAAAAAGAGAAAATATCCAGTGAGCCAAAATGCCTTGTTGATGCCAGAGGTCAGAGGAGAATGGCCAGACTGGTTCAAGATGATAGAAAGGCAACAGGAAGTCAAATAAGCACTGGTTCCAACCAAGGTGTGCAGAAGAGCATCTCTGAAGCAACAACACCTTGTCCAACCTTGAAGCAGAT